TGGTGATGTGAGAGCCTGGTCCGGTGAGAACCCGGCGTGCTCCGTCCCGGCTTTGTAGGGATGCGAGGTCAATGGTCTAACGACTACGGCATGCACGAGTATTTATGAGTACACCCCCCCATCCAAAGTTTTATACTAACCCAAGGTGCATGTGTGCAAAGTTTTCAAGTCTAATTCCGCAAACGGCGTGAAGTTTTCAGCTTTTGTGCCATCAAGTATTGCGCATCCTGATTTTTCCCCATATTACTTGATTAAAGTAAAGAATCGCACCTGCGGGGCCTCTTTTGCACTGCAAAGCGCTGTGCTGCGCCAGTTTTACAATTGCTACTACAAAACTTCCTGGAAAGGGTCATTGAACTACTCTGAAGCGGAAAAAAAAGGAAAAGTGGTATTCATATATTTTGAACCGTGTTTCCGGGGTTCTACACCGGGGACCCCACAACGTCGGTCAGGACTGCAAGTATCGTCTCATTTTATTTTTTCGGTTTGCCGAACTATGTTGCACCATGCTGTCAAAATCTGAGGGCTATTCAATAGTTACTTCGATATATACAAGGCAAACAAGCACGAGACTCTTGTGTATTTTATCGCATATACAATCCGTCGACGGAAGTCTGACGACGCCCAATCGCTGCAGTCTTTCCACCATTTTGGGCATAACTTGCCTCCGCAATGACCGTTTTCATTTTTTTTTTCTTTAGATCCCCTAGACCATGGGGATCGCTTTGGTGCAAAATTGCGGTAGAAAGAGGTGGGAAGTGCCGGGTTGCATGCATTATCAGGTATATATGATATTGAAGGCTTCTGATTGGCTGAGACACATCAATGCCCATAGCATTGTGGCCACGGCTCTGATTGAAATTCCGGCCGCGGCGATTTGTTCCATTGCTTTTGGGAGTCACTTACGGTACAACATAATGTCAAATATGTGTACGCATTTCGCCTGGCAGGTGTGGTTGAACGAATTTCGGTTCATTTTCCTGAACCAGCTTGTAAGCAGAGGCTTTTTCAGTGTCGACAGGGTCTGGCTCACAGGAGTAGTCATGGAGTTAACTTTCTTTGGCGTCGGTATGGTACGGTATATCTGCGTGCATAGATCCATATTTATGCTTGCATCGTTAGGGCCGTTGATCGAACTTTCAAATTTGTCCGAATACCTACACCGTGGGTTCTGCCTGTCAAATGCAGGCTTCGTACTCGAGGGTTGGTGCTCATGCTCGCTTGCATACATGGCACCTATATTACAGCGACGGGCTCAATGGCTCGATATTAGCCTCCTGCCGGGGGCACAAGGTTGTCAGAGTTACCGACACACACTTTAGTGCATAACTCCTCATTACATTGGGTTGTCCACTGCTCCGCCCCCCCCCCTCCCCGCTTATGTTTCACTTTCACAAGGTCGTGTTCAGCCGCAAGGAACGTGTGAAAGGGGGCCCGCCGAAAGCTCCGTCTTCAATGGTCACGGCCAACAAGGCCGTGCACACCTACATCAACGGAAAGCTGCAGCCGCAAGTGCGTGCCCCTTCCTTTTCGCGAACGAATCTAGACATGGCGGAAGAACAAACAGTAAACAATAATAAAGTACCCATGGAGTAGGACACAAGAAGAGAGGCTCGCCTGTTGGAGGTGGCTGTGCTGAGAATTGGCATGCTGCTCTGTTTCGTGGAAGAGAGTGCGGTTAAGGATTGCACGTCTTAGAAGGGGCTTCCCTTCCCCTCTTGCAGGAACTACAACCCCGTGCACGAAACAAGTTGTTGCTGTTGCCGGTAGGGGCGAAACGCGATATGGCTTGTAGGGTTGGAAAATATTCAAGTGCTCTCTTCGATTGCAGCATCGAGATACAAACGAGTGTTGAGATGCGTAGGCAACAAGGATACGCGTGAGTTGGGAGAAGAAGCGTCGAGGGAAAACTCAGACGGTGACAGGGTTAACATGGGGCTTTCAACAGAAAAATGTCGCGGTGGTTCTTGGTGCAGGCGGTGGTTTCCCGGAAGGAGAAAGGCTTGCCGTGCGCGACAGCGGAAACGAGGCCCAAAAATATCGCTCTTAAGTGGACGAAGTAGATGGACACGGGTGTCCCGGCAGGCTCCATAAGAATCAGAAGCGGTTGACCTTGTCTCGGTATTTGGAGGCGTCGTCAAGAGGCGAAAACGCCCAAGGGGAAACAACAAGCGAGTTACGCCGCCCCCCCCTGCTCGTATACGCGTGCCGTGTTCGTTTTTTTCTTGCTTTTCGCGCCTTTGCAGCTGTACCTCCGAGTACAGGAGGATGGTTTTTGCACGTTTGCCGACGGGCGGCTGCAGCCGGCGTTGGAGGCCCTGGCGATGCTGGCGAAAGACGACACCCTCGTGGACGGATTCAACACCGTCCGCTTCGAGATCAGGTGCAGTATATACGTATCAGTACATACGTATCCACGGGTGTGAATATGTTGTTGTTGTTGTTATTGTTAACACGTTAGAAACCGCTCCGATCTCCGGGTTTCCGGGCGCACCCTCTTGGGGGGCAGTCTCGTTCTTGTGCGTTTGCGATGTATAGAATATATTCTGAAGGTTCGAGTTACAGACAGACGTTGGGGGGATGCATTTCAACCGGGGTTCTCTGTCACCAAAGTCAAACATCTCTTCGTCAACGCCAATGTTGTTGTTGTTGTTGCTGTTGCATTCACATTAGTAATTGTTCGGTCTAAAGTATGCTCAGCACCTTGTAACATCCATACTGGTCCAACTGACACGGACGCCTTCGTCGTCTCAGGCCAACTGCCCACGAAAAGGGTGCACCTTCGCGACAAAAAGCGCGTCCAGCGTCGCCCCGTTTCTTGCCCGAGAGGTTGGGGAGAGGCGAAGATTCCTGTATCTGGAAACAAATTTTGTTTGCTCCAACAATCCCATCCCCGGCTACTTATGCATGCGCCACGAAGCTGAGCCACCGGGATAAACACCAAAACCTCTTTTGTTGGCCGAGAGTCTTTTCTTGTTTGCCGGTGCAAGACCAAAGGCTGGGGGCCAACAACGGTTGAACTTCGACGAGCGACTGCCTCTGCCACAGTTTTTAGATTTGGGCTTGGTGTCATCATTGAAAAAGCCTACTGGTATCTCTCGCAAGGTCGGGAGGTTTAGGGCCGTCAGCTTTCCGCCCGTAAGGGCTCGGCGGAGTGTGCCTGTGCCGCTGCTGGTTTCTCACTTCCTGGTCACAATGCCAGTATATATGCATACGTCATGCACGAAACGTGGGCATCTGTCTGCACTTGTTTTGATTGGACATCTGGGGGCTCTGTCTCTCTCTCACCCTGTCCCTCTCGCACTCTTTCAGTCTCTTTCTGTCTCTGTCTGTCTGTCTGTCTGTCTCTGTGTCCCCCCCCCCCTATTTCTGTCTCTCTCTCTCTCTCTCTCTCTCTCTCTCTCTCTCTCTCTCTTTCTCTCTTTCTCTCTGTGTCGCTGTCCCTGTCTGTTTATCTCTCGGTCTGTTTCTCTCTCCCTCTCTCTGCCCCCCACCCCCCTCTCTTGATCTCTGTCGATCGATCTTGTAACGCCACTGCCCTACCACCGCCCAGGTACCTGCGGGACCCGAGGGTCCTCGTGGCCGAGTGCTTCGCCTTCGTGTGGGACGTCAACACGCCCATGATCGTGGTCGACATCGACGGCACCATCACCAGAAGCGACGTCTCGGGGTTGATGATGACGCTCAGCCCGGGCCTAGTTACCAACCACAACCACGAGGGCATCTGCTCGCTGCTGGCCCGCATGGTTGACGAAGCGGTGAGTGAAAATGTTTTTATTCCCGACTTCTTTTTCGTTTGTGTCGTTGTAGCTAACTCTAAGATGTTATCTTCCTGCTCCTGCGGAATTCGTGTCGAAACCAATCCCACCGACGGGTGACCATGTGAACTCAAAACATGCAGGGGATGAAACCGTTTCTTGTGGACAGAATGCTCGTGTCTTCCTCTTCCTGGATTGACGACAACACCGACCCCGCCGCCGGGTGACCAATGAGCGTGGGTCAAGTCTCGTCGCCCGACCACAAACGTTCTCGCCTGACCTACAGCGTGCTGCCTTTTCCCTCCCACAACCCGCCATCCACATGTGTTGTGTTTGTGGTTACTTTTCTCGGCCATGACACGCTGCCGCTAATCCCGCGGGCGCGCGGGGGGGGGGGG